GCCACTCGGTATCTTGCTCTGACCTGGGCTGGCCTCGTATATATCCATTAGTGGTTCTGAAACTATATCCATTATCGGCAATACACTTGCCAGTAGGATTCCATCGGGCCATGGGACTTACATTCAGTTCAGTTAATATTCAAAGAAATGCTTGCAATGACATATACATATGCACTATTTCCTCTGATAGGGAGGAGAGATCCGTTATTGTCAACTCCCCTCGATCCACTCTGTGCACGTTACGGAAATAAGTACAAAATGCATTTGCTTTTCCCAGATCATTGATGACGGTGTTCCCACCCACCCCCATCTTAATAAGTTTTGTGCAATGTTGTGCTGCCAGCTTGGACAGGCTCATCCACCAGCCTTCCCAGGTCTTGTGATTCGCTTCGCATAGGGCCTTATCCCAAGTAACCTACACAGGTCCCGCAGCAGAATCTTACCGAGCAGTAGCCGCGGTGCGACCAACGCCATTGGCTGGCCGACGAAGGCGGAATCCCTCGGCGAGTCACCATGTTCTTGGGTAGTTAAAGTTGGAGCAAAACCTCACCGTTCTCCGAGTCCCACTGCACACCAACTGCCCTGTCTGTTGGTAACGGGCTTCCCGTTAAGTCACGGAACCACGGCGACCGTTCTTCAACCGGGATGCAATCGATTGCTTGACGACTGTCAGTCATTCACTTGGTTACCTTGAAACCTCCCATGAGCAGTAGCTTCGATAAGTCGCTAATGTGTCTAATTGCTTCCTCGATGCTATCGAACGACTCCAAGAAATCGTCCACATAAAAGTTATGTTTAACATAGAAATCAACCGGGGTTTGGAAACGCTGAGCAAATTGATTCATGGTCGTTTTTAGAGCGAAGTTTGCACAGAAGGGAGAGGGGATCGTGCCAATCGGGTGCACCCTATTCCGATATTCATGGGCAGGTTTATCTACGCCTCCCTCCGGCCACCACAAGAATCGTATAGCGTCCGTTTGTCTTTCGGGGACTTCAACCTGCATGAACATTTCCTGGATATCAACCACTACCGCAATCGACCCTAGACGAAATCGGCACAGCACCTCAATCAGTGGAGTCGTCAGATCTGGGCCTTGTAGTAGGCGATTGTTCAGGGCAATCCCGTCACACTTGGCAGCATATCCAAACACAAGCCTGGTCTTCGGAGGTTTCATAACTGGGTGGTGCGAGAGGCACCATAACGGTTGCTCTTTGTCAGCTTTTCCCACTGCGCGTTCGATATAGCCCAACTCTAGGTTTCGTTTCATGGCACTACAATAGACTTGCTTCAGCGGTGCATTCCTTTTCAGTCGTCCCTTCAGATAGTTGTGCCTATGGAGTGCATTGGTGACTGACAGAGCACTTACTGCATGACCACTAAAACTTTTATGACTCGAAACCACTGCTGTTCCCGTAGCAGTGACAAACTACCACAGCGTTGAATCGTTCAAGGAAATATAAATGTTGGGCGGCAGCGCAACCCGGAGTTGATTATTGGGATATTATACACGGTTTGCGCTTAGTTACTTGGTGAGAGACCCGATTCTAAACAATTACGAACCAAGTTGTTGTAAGCTCCGGAACGTCAACAGCGAATCAGCACGAACGCATGATTAGTGAGAACGATAACGCGTTTCTTGAGAACTGCAGTGACGATTCATTCGAACCAACAAACAACCGTACCAGCAAGTTAAACCACTTCGTCGACTTTCGCGCCACATTCTATTTAGTGAACCGCGAGTCACTGTATAATGTAATGATTGCATATGGCAACCTGCAAAATAGGTTTATATAGTGAGATTGTATAACACCCAAACCAATGCTCGTATCTGAGCCCACGGCGAAGAGTCTCATCCCGTCGATCTGAGGACAGGATTAAGCCAGGAATGCCCGCCATCTTGTTTTTTTCAACTTCACTGTTGATTAGACTCTGTGTCGGGCAATAGAGGGTCCAAGTTTCTGCAGATTGCTGGATTACCGACCTCGAATTCGCCGATGGCGTGGAAGTGCTTGGAGAGGACCTGACCTGCTTACAAACAGCTATCAACCGTCTCAACAGATTGGCCTTGAGGTTAATCCTAACAAAATTAAGATGTTCGCCACTCCATAAGCTTAAGCAGAACATCCTCCGCAACTTGGTGATCGGACTGTAGATATTGAATCGGATTTCAAGTACCTCGGATCGATCATCCTGTCTAATGGACATGACAAAGATGGTGCAAAACGGTGCATCGACACGGCCCGAAAGGCGTTTCTCCATCTCGGAACCACCCTATAGCGCCGGAACGAGATCGGTCTCAAAACCAAGCTCAGAGTGTGTGCCACAGCAGTCCGACTATACGGCTGAGGACGTCTTCAATCCCTGGTGTCTTGGATTTATCCTGAGTAAGCTGGAGGGAAAGAGTCAAAAACTCGGCCCTCAGAAATTGCTGCGAACTACAATGGTTGGGCCATGTTCTCCGTAGACCCGAAGACACATTCACAAGTATGGCCTTAGTACCGTCATCTTGACCTGGGTGGCGCTGTCGAAAAGGGGGCAAGTAAAAACCTGGCTGGACGCTGTATTTGAAGAATTCGAC